AGAGGACACAGTGATAGGACTTCAGGTTGCGAAGGCATGTGTCTATAAAGTCTAAAAGTAAACTGAGGCAGGGGCTGGACAGGGTGACCTGATGGCAGGGGCAACAACACTATAGGGTAAAAATGAAGCTGGACGTGGGCAGTGCAAAGAAATGAACGCTGGGAGGTTTAAGCGATTTGGGCAAGTGCAGCGAAAGAGGACTGGAGGGATGTGCTAGTCGGGATTGCTTAAATGGGCATAATTGTGGCTTGGTGGCAGGTACTAATTTGTGTGCTGGTTAGGAAGGGGTCTTGCCACAAGTGACAGAAAGCCTGATGTGCATTGGCTTAAGCAGTGTCACACACACATACACACACATTCACACAGAAGGACACAGAAGGACACAGAAGGTTCATTTGGGAAGCAGTGGAATTTTGGAGTCAGATGGCCCACGTTCAATCTCAGCTAGTTCTGTGACTAGGGGCAAGAGACAACCTTTTTTTTTTAAGATTTATTTTATGCATACAAGAGCTGGGGTGCAGGCCAGAACAGAGTGGGGAGCAGAACAGGCAGATCTACTGAAATGCACTGCTGAGGGGAGCAGCAGGCAAGACAGGAGAGGTCTGCTGTGCCATGTGGGTCACCTCCCTGGCAGGGGATTGAACTCATGCTGCAGTGGCTGCAGGTAGCTTCATAGTGCTGTGCTTAACCCCTTGCGCCACCAGGGAGGCCCCAAGATACAACCTTTTATGATGTACACTGTGATTGCCTTCTAAACATGCATTGTTCCTTCTCTTAATTATTTCACTTTGCATGTGGGTATCTCTCTCTCTCTCTCTCTCTCTCTCTCTCTCTCTCTCTCTCTCTCTCTCTCTCGCTCTGCAGTCCACGCAGACCTAAGCTAGCGAGAGCTGTCCCACCACACAGCACCACAAAGTTGGTTATTGGTTTGGGGGTGGTTTTTGACCCCATTTAAACTGCTGAGTAGGAAAAAGAATTACACTGTGAACTTCGGAGGAAGAAGCTTCCTTGCTCTCCTGGGGAAAGTTTCTAGAATGAAGGTGATTCCCTGAATTAAAAGGCATTAGCATGGAGTTGTGGGCAGTGTGGGAGTTGTGGGCTTGCTCATAACTACTTGGAAGACCAAGCTGAGGATGAACTGACCACGTGGACAGTAGAGAACAGAAAGAAGGAACTATATAGCTGGTGATGATGCTGAGATGCTGGATCAAGATCACTAACCAGTTCGGCAAAATTGGAATTTTCCATTGTCATAAAATGATAAATTCCCTTTATTGTTCATCTCATGTGAATTAGGTTTTCTGCTAAGAGCAAGGTTATGTTCAGTAATAGACTTCTGAGACTCAGCTCCTTGCATCTGTAAATCAAGCACAGTAAGAATATCTACTTTATGGACTTATGAAGATTTAGTGAAATGATGCATACAAAAATTTTTAGGCTAGTATCTGACACATAGGAATTGTGCAAATAGCTTTCAGAAGACATGGAACAAATATTAGGAAGTGTCCACTGTAGGAAGAGCTGGATGGTGAGAAACTGAGGGTGATGAATGGTGAACAGTTGTCATCAGATACGTGCTGACCATTGCATGTAGTCACAAAGTCAGTTCTTACTTGTTGCAACATGTACGGAAGCAGAAACCCTTTGAATGCTCTATTCATGATCCTCAAGCAATCTTATCAAGTAGGTACAGTTATTATCCTTAATTCTTAGATGTGGCCACAGAGAGTTATGTAACTATGTCATTGTCACCCTACCGTGAGAAGTCAGGACTCCATGTATAGCTGACACCAGGAGTGATATGAAGAAAACTTAGAAATACTCATTCACGCTTGGTAGGAATGTAAATTGGCGCAGTCTTTATGGGATATATTACCATAAAAGATTAAAAATGGAAACATTGATCAGAACAGGTACTGACCAGTAAGCATGGAGGCCTCCAAAAATAACCAGTGAGTGCCAATCAGTGATGGCTAAATAAAACCTGTCAGAAGGGCCTCCCTGGTGGCACAGGGGTTAAAATCAGTGCTATCAAGTTTTCTCCAGCCACTGTGGCTAGAGTTCAATCCCCGGCCAGGGAGCTAACCCACATGGTGCAGCAGGTCTCTCCTGTCTCACCTGCTGCAGCCCCCAACAGTGTATTTCAGTCAGTCTGCCTGTTCTGCTCCCCACTCTGTCTCTGGTAAATCCTCTCACCCCCCACACCCACACCTCTGGCCTAAGACCCCAATTCTTGTATGCATGAATAAATAAAAATAAATCTTTAAAAAAAAAACCCCAAAAACTGTGAGTGGAGTCCTCACTCAGCAGTGTCCAGTGGCACTCACTAGCAGAACCATAAGGCTGGACAGGAATAAACTAGAAGGAAGAACTTCTGAATTATTTCAGTCCAAAAATGAAATGAACTAATTGATATAGTAAATATCCCACCTCTCAAGTACTTAAAGGTTAGGAAACCACTTTGTAATTGGTGAAGTTGCAGAAGAATTTCTGCCTTTAGCAACCTACAGACTGGGAAAAAATATCTGCCCATCACAAGTTCAAAAAGAGGCTAATTTCCAAACTATGTAGAGTTTGCTCAATTCAACAATAAAGAAAAAGAACCTCATCAATACATGGTCAAAAGACCTCAACAGATGCTTCTCCAAGAGCATACAGTGGGCCTATAGCCATGTGATAAAATGTCAAACAAAATGTCAGGGAAATGCAAGTCAAATCCACACTGAAATAAGTCAGAAGGAAAAAGAAAAATATCAGATGGTTTCATTTATAGGAAGAACATAGGGGAACCAAAAAAGGCATCAGTGCAAAAAATAATAACAATAAAAAACACAACAGGGCCTCCTTGGTGGCCTCTGCAGCAAAAGTTCGATCCCTGGCCAGGGAGCAACCCACATGGTGCAGCAGACCTCTCCTGTCTCGCCCGCTACTCCCCTCAGCAGTGTATTTCAGTCAGTCTGCCTGTTCTGCTTCCCGCTCTGTCTCTGGTGAACTCTGCCAATGTTCCTTATCAAAATGACTGGAAACAAGTGACGAGTGTGTGGAGAAAAAAGAACCATCTTTCATGCTTGGCAGGAATGGGAAATAATACCATAAAAGATTAAAAATGGAAGTATCATTTGACACAACAGTACTACTACTGGGTAATTGTCCAAGGAATATGAAAACATGAATACAAAAATATTTATGCATTTTTATGTCAAGAGTAGCATAAGTCCCAATAACCAAGACATGGAATCAACATAAGTGCTCATCAACTGATGCCTAGGTAAAGAAATTGTGGCATGTGTCAATGGAATACTTTAAAAGCTGAGATAGTACTTTTGGGACATTATGAATGTATCTTCAGGTAATGATGTTAAGAAAAATAATTCAGAAAGTGAAAGACAGTTACCAGATGTTTCAGTCATTTGTGAAGTATAAACAACCAAAAAAACCAAACTGGCAAAACAACAGAAATAACTCTTAGGCTCTGAAAACTATAGCGGTTACCAGAGGGGAGGGCCTAGAAGGGAAAAGGCAAGTAACAGGGCACGAGTCTGGAGCTTTGGTGGGGGGTGAGTGAATTATGTGCCCATGTTGGGGTGTGAAGTTGTCCTCCTGATCTTACTTACTTGTTTACATAAGTCACAAATGAAAAAAATTCGACGAAAATAAATTCTGCCTTTGGTTGGAGATAGTAAGGCTTGTTGACCTCTAAGCTGACCTTCACCTCCAGTATCTAATGTTTTATAGTTGTCTGGAGAATAGTAGCCTGATTGCTCTTTAGAAGGCAATCCTAATTTTCCAAGCCTTTGCATTTTTCTGCTTTATTATGCATATTATTAAATCACAAATTAGAAAAATCTCAGAATTAATTTGCCTGTAGTCCCACAGTGAGTTAGGGGACAAAGCCCCAGGCTGAGCCCTGATCTGACCAGCCCAGAGACCCCAACTCCCTGCTGTGCCACACTTTGCCTCTGATGAGAAGACTTTTTCTTTTTTTAAAAATTATTTATTTATATATATTTACGTAGTTGTTCATTTTTTTTACATTGTTTGATTTCTTTTCTCAGGTGTAGTCCACATAGAATTCCCACCACCATTTCACCTGTGTGCCATCACCACAGTCCACAGTGCTCCTCACTCCCCTGACCCTCCTACTCCTCCTCCCCTCCTCCCTGCAGAACATCTCCAATTCATAGCTGTCTATTTATTTTTGTTTTGTTTTGTTCTTTTTATTTTTTAAAGATTTATTTATTCACACAAGAACTGGGGTACAGGCCAGAGGTGTGGGGGGGAGAGGATTCACCAGAGACAGAGTGGGGAGCAGAACAGGCAGACTGCCTGAAATACACTGCTGAGGGGAGTAGCGGGCGAGACAGGAGTGGTCTGCTGTGCCATGTGGGTTGCTCCCTGGCCGGGGATCGAACTTGTGTTGCAGAGGCTGTGGATAGCTTCACAGTGTTGCTTGCGCTTAACCCCTTGCACCACCAGGGAGGCCCTGTTGAATTTTTTATTGTTATTTTTTGCACTGATGCCTTTTTTGGTTCCCCTATGTTCTTCCTATAAATGAAACCATCCAATATTTTTCTTTTTCCTTCTGACTTATTTCACTGAGCATAATCCCTTCCAGCTCCATCCATGTTGCTGCAAATGGCATTAGATTATCTTTTTTGATTGCTGAATAGTATTCCATTGTGTATATATACCACATCTTCTTGATCCAGTCATCTATTTTTGGACATTTGGGTTGTTTCCAAGTGAGTAGAGTTTTTCTTAATAGTTACATTACATGATACATGTCATTTTAGTGAAGATATATTCTAGAGTATGAGAAAGAACAGTAAGCTTCCTCATAAGTTAGTGCAAAGAAGATAACTAAAGGCAGTGGACATCATGTGTCATATCAACTGTGATCTAGGCCTGTGTGCACCCTGAAATGTATCCTCACCTCAGCCCTGTACTGATACAGCAAACGAGGCTCACAGATGCTAAGTAACTTGCCGTGGTTGTGATAGGCAGAGCCACCCTAATGCCACCACTCACTGCTGATGATGGACACTGGAACAGCCCTCCTGTGGGCGAGAGGACATCGGTGTGTAACCACATGGTGAGTATATTATACTGAAGGAGGAAGCTAGGAAATGGGTATAGGCAGTCCGTTAGGAACAGGGTGCCCCCAGCCCCAAATCCATTTATCAGGCTGATTGAGAAACAATCAGTTGGAGACAGAAGGGTCCCCCCCTCCTAACTCAGAAAAGAGTGGAAGTTCCAGAGCACCAACCAACACAATGCTAAAGCAACAAGCCAAAGCTAGTTTTGGAAAGGTAGGCCAGGTAGGCAAACTCAGTGGGCCTCGGTAGACTAGGAGATCCCTCGGGCCCAGCCAATCAGCAAGAGACATAACACAGAGACACCCACCAACTGAACCCCCACTCCTTGCCCACTGTACCCATAAAGCACCTACTTCTCGCCCCCTTAGTGGCTACCCACTCGGGACCCCTCTCCACTGGGAGAGCTTTCCTGTCCTTTTGTCTATCAATCTGCTACCCATTTGGGACCAGACTCTGCTCAGAGCTCTGCTCAGAGCCTTCCTGTCCTTCCTGCCTTCAATTAGTCTTTTTCTGATAACTTTGATCTTAACATTGAATTCTTTGCTCACTGAAGACAGGAACCGAGAAAGAGCCAGCTCAAGGTCCTCCAGGCCTGCTCCCCAAAACCCTGATTCAATACTATGCTCTTGGAGGATATAAGACTTGATATATGTGTGTATTCCTACACTTGATTTTAGCCAAAAGGCCAAGAAGTGATGTACTGTCTATTCCTATATACAATGATGATTCTAGACAAGAATATCAGTGCACATTTAATCACCAAACAAATAAGACTAGGAAGAAATGAAAAGGGTTACCACTGGGTTTTTATTTTCTGTAGTACTTTTCTATATTTCCCCCCAATTTTCTGAAATACATGTGTGTCATTTTATTTAGTTGAACTAGTGATATAAATATCTCATTATATGTTACTCTGATTATCAATGAAGACATTATTTTTAAAAAAGTATTGGCCTAATAGCTGGAATTCATGGTTTCTTGACCTGACCTTGTCCCGAATCACTCTGTGAACTTGGCCATGTTTGCTTCCTTCAATGGCCAAATTCAGTTCATTTTTCTGGTGTTTTTTTTTTTTTTTTTTTTTTTTCATGGCCATGAGCTAAGAGTGGTTTTGACGTTTCTATTCTATTGTTGACTTTCATTTCTATAGCTTTGGTTTATGCCTTGGTTTGTATATTAGAAGTATAGGATCTCCCCCCTCAGGTGTAGTTACCGCACCACACCCACCACCAAGACACCAAAGCCCACAACCATAATCCTCTGTGCTACACCCCCATTTTGCTCTTGCTCACCCCCCACCCACCCCCACCACTCTCTGTCTGGTGGCCTCAGTTCTATAGCCAGCTTTCTACAGTTTAGTTCTTAGTCTGGCTTTATCTGGAGCTATATTGGTCTCTCTATATTCCAAATATAAGTGACACCATCCAGTATTTGTCTCTTCTTCTGACTTTTTTTTTTAAAGATTTATTTATGCATACAGGAACTGGGGTACAGGCCAGAGGTATAGGGGGTGAGAGGATTCACCAGAGACAGATTGGAGCTGAACAGGAAGACTGACTAAAATACACTGCTGAGGGGAGCAGTGGGCAAGACAGGAGAGGTCTGCTGTGCCATGTGGGTCCTCTGCTGAGCCAGGGAGCGAACTCCGTGCTGCAGTGGCTGCAGATAGCTTCATGGCGCTGCGACTTAACCCCTTATGCCACCAGGGAGGCCCTCTCCTTCTGACCTATTTCACTAAGCATAATCCCCTCCAGCCCCATCCATTTTGTCGAAAATGACAAGAGATTGTCTTTTTGGATCACTGTGGAGTATTCCACTGTGTGTCTATACCACAGCTTCTTGATCTCCTTTTCTGTTGGGGGCACTTAGGTTGTTTCTGTAACTTGGCTATTGTAAATAGTATTGCAAAAAACATGGGATTGCAGGGCCTCCCTGGTGGCGCAGCGGTTGAGCGCTGGGTTGCGAAGCTGCCCGCAGCCTCTGCAGCGCCATTTCGATCCCCGGCTGCTCCCCAGCCACCGGAGGAGGGTCCCACATGTGCAGACCTCTCCTGCCGCCCGCTGCTCCCCTCAGCAGTGTACTTCGGTCCTTCTGCCTGTTCTGCTCCCCGCTCTGGCTCTGGTGAATTCTCTCACCCTCCCGCGCTTCTGACTATACCCAGTGCTTGTATAAATAAAAAAAAAGACAAAAAAAATCAAACAAACATGGGAGTGCAGGTTTCCCTTAAAATTGTTGGTTTCGTAATCTTCAGGCAGATACCTAGGAGTGGATTTTCTGTTTTTTATCTTTTGAAAAACCTCCACACTGTTTTCCACAGGGGCTGACCCAGTCTACATTCCTACCAGCAATGTTGGAGCTCCCCTTTGTCTTCAGCACTTGTTGTTTCTGGTCTTCTTTATATGGACCATTCCCACAGGTATGAGATAGTAACTTATTGTGGTTTTGATTTGATTTCCCTGATAATAAGTAATGTTGAATACTTTTTCATGTACCTGTTGGCTCTCTATATGTTTGTGCTGGAGAAGTGCTTATCTAGCTGTTCTGATCATTTTTTTATTAGGTTATTTGTTTTGTTGTGATGTATGAGGGGTTTGGGGGGGCGTTACTATTTTTTAATTATATATATTATATATATTTTACATTATTCTTTTTGTACAATGCATGCTTTCTTCTCTCAGGTGTAGTCCCTGCAAAATTCCCACCATCAATTCACTCATGCACCATCACCATAGTCCCTTGTGTAAGAACACATTCTCTCCCCTGTTCTGATCCCTCTCTCTCCCTATCCCCTGCAAAGTGTCTCTGATTAATAGCTGCCTGTTAATTTTGTTTTCTAATTTACTATAATTTTTTTTTCCTGGTGGGATGTATGAACTTTTTTCATTGATCTTTGATATCAGCCCCTTGTAAGAGTTATGGTGTGCAAATAATTTCTCCCATTTAGTAGGGTGTCTTTGTTTTAGTGATGGTTTCTTTCACTGTGCAGAAGCTTTTTAGTCCCAATTATTTATAATCTTTTTGTTTGCCTTGTTGCTGGAGATGGGTCCACAAGGACATCTCTGCAGCCTGTGTCGTGGAGTGTTTTGCCTATGTTTTCTTCGATGTATTTTATGGTTTCAGGTCTTACATCCAAGTCTTTCATTCAGTTTGAGTTAATTTTTGTGTGTCTTATAAAATAATGATCTAGTTTCATTCTTTTGCACTTGGTTGTCCAGTTTTTCCCAGCACCACTTACAGAAGAGGCTTTCCTTGCTCTGGTGTGTATTCTTGGCTCCTTTGTCATATATTACTGCTGTGCAGGAGCAGGCTTATCCCTGGGCTCTCAATTCTATTCCATTGGTCTATGTGCCTGCCTTTGTTCCAGAACTATATTGTTGATTATCGTTAACTTTGTGGTGTAGTTTGAAGCCTGGTGGTTTTTATATTTTTAAATGGTTGAAAAAATGAATCAAAAGAATGCTATTTGGGGGCACACAAAAATGTTGTGAAATTCAAATTTCAGTGTCCATGTAGTTTTATTGGAACACTTGTGCTCACTTGCTTAATATTGTCTATGGTGGATTTCATGCTACAATGGCAGACTGGCTAACTTGTTGCAGAGGCTATATGATCTTCAGAGTCAAAAAGCATTTGCTATCGGGGCCTCCCTGGTGGCGCAGCGGTTGAGCGCGGGGTTGCCAAGCTGCCCGCAGCCTTGCAGCGCCGGTTCGATCCCCGGCTGCTCCCCGGCCACCGGAGGAGGGTCCCACATGGCGCGCAGACCTCTCCTGCCACCCGCTGCTCCCCTCAGCAGTGTACCTCGGTCGTTCTGCCTGCTCTGCTCCCCGCTCTGGCTCTGGTGGATTCTCTCACCCTCCCGCGCTTCTGACTGTACCCAGTGCTTGTATAAATAAATAAATAAATCTTTAAAAAAAAAAAAAAAAAAAAAAAAAAAAAAAAAAAAGCATTTGCTATCTAGACTCTTACCAAAAAAAGTGTGCTGATCCCTTAACTACAGAATGAGAAAGATGGACTAACAATCTCACATGCCCATCCTCACCCTAAAATCTGAACAGTTAATGGAGCCCACTCCCTACTATTTTTATCTTTATTTTCTTAAAATCAATTGTGAATGCTGTACCCTATTCCCCTAATTGATAGCTTCAAAGATATAGATAGTCCTTCTTCATAGGCTCTGTATTGTCACTAAAGCACAGATAAGAAATAAGTTTGGCTGGAGTGTTGGTTTCAACATTGTAAGCTCATCCGGCCTCAGTTTCTCTCTTATGGTTTCTGGAATCACCTCCCCCCTTTCTCATATGTCCAACCACAAAGGCTGCTCCAGGAATAACACACTTGCAAACTTAGAGCTTCTTCACCTGCAAGTCACAGTGCAAATGCTACCTACGGAGTTGGCCTTTGAGCACTGTGCTCAGTGGCCTTCACTTCCAAACCTGTACTCTCTTCTTAGCAAAATGGTTATTTTCCACAAAGCACTAAACAGAATCTGTGGCTAACATCATTCATGCACTTGCTTTCTTGTCCACTGTCTGTCTCTTCAACTGATCTGTAAGCTCTGAGAGGACAGAAACCATGTTTTTATTCTTCAAAGCTCTATGCAAGAGATATGCTTGGCACATCAATAAGTGGTCAGCCCATTGGTTAAGTACTAAACCTAACAGAATTAAGCTTAAACTTTGTACTAAAATATAAGCTAGGTGAAGTCAAATTTAATTTGGACCAAGTCCCAGATCACATATTAACGAAACTCTTAATCTTAAGGAAATTATGAAAAGCTCAGCTAGTTGAATGTTAACCTGTAAACAGGCAGCTCTTTGCCTTTTTCACATGGATGTTCACCAGTGGGTGTCCTTGTGTAAGATGCAGTTTCAAAGCTCCTTCCAAAACTCCTGATGCATAATGCAAAGAAGGCAGATTCTCCTGTTTTCACAATGTGTAATTCATGCTCATTCATTATTCGGTAGCTGGCAAGCAGATGCTGAATAGATCATGTCAACCTAATACCTTCATTACTGCACTGTTGTTTTGTTTTTGAGGTTCAGGTGGCCCTTCCGCCATGGGAGTTAGGGAAAGAGAATGCTTGTTAGGGCTTGTGATCTACTGAAGAGAGGATTTACCAAAACAAAAAGGAGTGGGAGGTGTGTTCATAACCATGCCAGAGAAAAGGGAAGCCTGAAGCCAAAATCATTTATCTTACTGCAATAAAGAGAAACTATTATCAATACACTGAGGGGGCAAGTCAGCCTCAAGTAGAACACACATGACATAATATTAAAATATATATAAAATATATATATTTTATACTTTAATTTCTCATACTGGATGTGCTGGTCTGATAAACTGGAAAAGATTGAATTTCCCTACAAATATTTATAAGCAAAAAAAAAAAAAAATACCTTGGATGCAACACCCACTATAACAAAGCCACCGGTAGGTGATATATCTCACTAAATCTGAAATACGAAGGTCAGCAAAGATAGTCTCTGGATGACATAAAGTAGATTACCATATCCTAAAGTCAATGGACTTCCCTTATTGCATGTTCTCTTGGGTTGCTATTATTTTCTGAACAATTCTAAGAAGTTTCATTATCTGCTCTTCCATCCCATAATATATTGGAAGTAGCTGACCAGGAGTGAAAACAGAAGCTGCTCTAAGTAGTATCTGCTAAATAAGTGGGATTGAGGTCACAGCAGATAACAAAACTGTAAAAGCCTATTGGGTGAATATGCTGGGGCTTCCATAGCAAAGTACCACAAAGAAACCCAGAGGAGTATTGGCTGACAATTCTGGAGGCTAGAAGTTCAACATCAGGGTGTCAGCAGGCCCAGGCTTGCTGAGGGGGCAGATGAGGATGCTTCTGTGGCCCTTCCTGGCTTCTGCTGGGCCACAGGCCATCTTTGGCCACCTTTGATAAGGACATCAGTCATACTGGGTTTGGTCCCCATTCAAATGACTTAGTTTCACTTGATGTCCTCTGTTAAAACCTGATTTTTAAACAAGCTCCATTCTGAGACACTGGGGGTTAGAATTCCAGTATATCTCTTTGTGGGAGACACAACCCATATCATACCAAGTAAATTGTACATTTAAACTACTGGTGTTTCTATTGAGTTGACACAACCAGGTATCTCATCTGATCTTAAGGATGTCTATTTTCATAAGAGTGAAACTAAACAAACCTACATTTAGAGCAGAGTCTTTGAATCAAATAGGCCTATATCTGAGGTGGGGCTAGTGACTTAGCCCTGTCGTTGTGGAGTTGACTCTATGCTAGCCAAAACATGCAAAATGCTATGAGCACAGTACCTGTGTCTGAAAAGTGCATAATAAATGATAGTTCTTAATCTTTAAGAAAATGGTGGATGTATGTCATGCCCTAAATTAAATAGTTAAAATATGCTGATGAGCAGTAGGAGTAAACACCTTCAGGAACTAGGGGGGCATCTCCCCAGATGACTCACTCCTCAGGCTTCAGAAAACTTGGCTGTGACTGTCGGGAAGTTCACTCATTAGGAGCTGACCTGTCACTTAAGGATCATGGACTCCATAGACTCAAATGATAAGCTGCAGAAAGGTCTTATTTTTCTTATGAATTATCATCTCAGGCAAATATAACAAGACTTCCAAGAGCCTACTGTGTTAGTGAATCAGAGCAAGAAGGCCAACTCATCCCCAAAGATCTCTGCCTGCAATGAACTAAGCACCTTCATTAAAATAAAAATATTTTTCCTTCACAACTGAATTTTAAACAAGATCTTGATTAGTAAATGTGCTGATCAGATTTCACTGGCATGTGCCCTTTAAACAGTTCACTGCGTGATGCCACTTTCTTGGGAAGAGAATGGAGAAAGAGCTAGATCTTACTTTGAAGAGCATTCCACCAAGGTAAAGGAAATCACCCTAGACTCTTGAGTATGAAGGAGACATCCCTGATCGTTTGTTAAGGCCACCTCCCTTCTTTCTTGATTGGAAAGTTGGGGTTATGTTTCAAGTCAGAACGGAAATTGGAGTCAGAGTATACCATACTGTAACCTCTTGGAGGAAATGTGAGGGACAGACATTACGGTGACTCCTGGTGTTTAATCCTCAGCCCCTGAGGGTGGGCTGGTTGTATGGCTTGCTTCCAAAAAACATTATATGGCAAAGTGCTGGATGTCTCTCCTGTGACTGTGTCATGTTTAACAATGTGTTAGGTTGTTATTCAATGATATATGTTTTGACTTGGGGGTAGATTCACTCTAGAGTCTTGCTTTCCTTGCTTAATTTGAAGAAAAAAGCTGCCATGAATCCTATGTATTTATTGTCCTCATTCATTTGTTCTGTTATTAATTTATTCAGCAACCACCCTGGATTAGATTCATGCTCTAGGGATCAGAATATGAGTGAGATGTGGTCTCCACCCATTCAGGCTTTAGTTGAGGAGGGAAAGACAATCTTTAATAAAGAATATTGTGATCCACTCCTATGTTTATTGCAGCACTGTTTACAATAGCCAAGATATGGAAACAACACAAATGCCCCCAAATAGACAAATGGATCAAAAGTTGTGGTATATATATATATATATATATATATATATATACACTGGAATATTACTCAGTAATCAAAAAAGACAAACTCATGCCATTTGTGGCAACATGGGTAGAGCTGGAAGGGATTATGCTAGCTGAAATAAGTCAGAAGGAAAAAGAAATACTGGATGGTCTCACTCATATACGGAATATATAGAGAAACCAAACAAAGGGTCAAGAAAAAGACAATAGTGGCAAGCTGACCATAGATTTGAGATATAAAGCAAGGGAATATGGTGATGGTTCATGGGTGATATGGGGACTGTAACCATGTAAGAAAATTTAAAAAATAAATAAAAAAAAAAGAATATTATGATCCAATGACCACAATTAGAGACTGTGACCATTGTGAAGATGCACTTGAGTGTGAGTGATGTGTGTGTGTGCATGAATCTTCAAGTGTGTGCAGACAGCAGCTCAAGATACACACATAGCTGCTGAATTTTGTTGTAATACATGCCCCACGATTTAAACATGTTTCTGATATGAGGGTTGAATTGCCTACTGGACCACCTCTATGCTGTGATATTATCAACTCTGAATGACAAGGAAATTGTCCTTTCACCACTGGAAACTGGCACTGAAAACACAGGTGTTCAAGAAATAGTTTTTGAATATTTATGATGGCTCTATTGTTCTTTGTTTTTTTTTCTTTACCATCAAGATTCTGATTTCGAGAAGAATATAGAAATGTCTTGCTACTTCAGTACATGAGTGAATGTGTGAAGACTAAATACTAGGTCATTTAGTCACTTGTTGGTTCTAAGTTTGAGCAAAGAAGGCAAAGATGATGAATAAAAATATCCTTTCTTGACAACCATAAATTTTCTTTTATTCTTTCGACATTTCTGTATTCAACTGGAGATGAAAATTTTAAACTCTCTGTTGTACTGTAATTATTTACACTAATTGCCTCATTAGATTTTTAATCTCATTTCTATAGGGATTTACAAAGCACTGGACTATAACTTGATTAGAGTGATAGAATTCTTAGAAAGAAGGGAAAGCAAACAACCACTTCAATGGTATTTTGATCTAAGATGACTTATTAGTTAACTGTCGCATACAATTCACCTCATTAAATAGAGTCTTCTTAACATGTGACAAGGGAGTGAATACAAATTTGCTTTGGAGTGTAATAATTACTTTCCATCATTATTCACTGGCGAGTATTAGCTCCATAGAAAGACTTGTACCAAATTTTGTGTTCCTTGTATTTTTAATAATTTCAAATAAGCACTTTGTCCATATTTACAAACAAATCATCATCCACTGATTTAAAGTAAGTAAAACAGTCTTGATCTAGGAACTGGCTATTATTTGGAAACAAAAGCTGATTTTCAAGTTGTACACACAGAACATTTGACCTCTTGACTAACAAGAAAGTTATCTAATAGTATAATTAAAAACTAAGGGTTATTATGCAGCTCTGTATTTTTCACAACTCTAGAACAGAAAGATTCTGAAAGCAAGGAAAATTAGCTGCCTAGTCCACACATTTAGAAAAATGCAAAAATAAAATTTAAGTCCATGGATAAAAAAAAAAATCACAAACAAAAAAGCACTACCCCATTTATTTCTCACTTTGAGTTGTAATGGTCAAAAAATATATAATTAAACTAGACATCGTTGACAACAAAGTCAGGGAAAACAAAAATTAAAAATGGAGCCCATTCTATGCACAACCACTCATTTAGCACCCTCCCCACCATGGACTGGAAGCTCTTTTCTTCTTTGACTATTAAAGTCCTTTTAAAACCCTCTGAGGGCCTCCCTGGTAGCATGAGGGGTTAAGTCTCAGCACAATGAAGCTATCCAAGCTATCACCAGCCACTGCAGCACATCCCGGGCCAAGGAGCTACCCACATGGTGCAGCAGACCTCTCTTGTCTTGCCAGTGCCTCCCTTCAGCAGTGTATTTCAGTACATCCACCTGTTATGCTCCCCACTCTCTCTCTGGTGAATCCTCTCACTTCCCACCCCATACTTCTGGCCTATACCCCAGTTCTTGGATGCATAAATAAAATAATTCTTTTTTCAAAAAGCCCTCTGAGCTCTCAAAACTTGGTTTTATTACCCAAAATCATCTCCTCTGAGGTACTCAGTCCTTCTCACAATTTAGCCTATAGTTTCAAGTTTTCTCTTGTCTGCTGGTTGCACGTGTATCACCCTCTCACTGGTAGCCAGCCTCTGGGTGCCTGAAGGCAGGTGGCCCTCCCTTACATTGGCCATGACTTCCTCAGGAGCTAGGGCTCTGTGACCATTGGTGGGGGGATGGCTGAGAGCACTGCATTTCCTCCAAGAGATTCTTCGCTCCTTATTAGTCACACAACCTGGGGCAACTTAATCTTTCTGAACCAATTTCATAAAATGGGGACAATAATGCCATCAGTCTCCCAGGGTTGTGGGAAGATGAGAAGTGAAATGATTCCCTGGAAGTACTCAGCTGAGTGCCTGGTGCCCAGAGAGCCCTCAAAATAGCCTCTGCCACTGTCATTGCTCCACACTCACTCGGTCTGAATGATTCTGAATTTGCTACCATGGCTGGGTGACATGTAGTTTTCACTCTAAATTAGGATGTCACATATCTTATAGCTACAGCTTTATGCAGATGGGCTTTCCTTTTCTAGGGGATCTGGAATGGAATGCTTTTTTCCATTCACACTTGAATATCTTGGAACTCGGATGTGTCTTGCAATCCAATCTTCTAAGGAACTGAACTGTTTTGTTATGTTGTCTTAGGCTCAATCAAATTCAGTATGAATTTTGCTGGTTCTTTTGAAGAAAGAGGTTTTTTAAAAAGAACGACAGTTCTCAGAAGCCCGTGTACTTTTGTATCATTCTTCACGCTTTAACTCTGCCTGTGAGCCACTGTCTTAGTGCCATTATTATTTCTTAAGTGCTTTAGACCAAGGGACACTGCTTTTTTTCTTTTTTTACCACCTACATGATTATCAAGTCATTTGATATCATTTCAAATTGATTTTAGGTACTCTGAAGGCAGAAAGTCGTGGTGGTTAGAGGGTTCTCACAATTAAGATATCTACAGGTACACCTTGTTTTATTGATTTTGCAGATGTTGCATTTTTCACAAAAGGCTCCACCAGCAAGAAGATGATGACTTGCTGAAGGCTCAGATGATGGTGAGCAATTTTTTGCAATGAATTATTTTTAAAGCAAGTTATGTGCTTTGTTTTATTCATCATAATGTTATTGCACATTTAGTAGATGACCGTATAGAACAAACGTAGCTCTTACATATCTTGGGAAAGCAAAAATTCACATGACTCATTTTATGTCAACATTAACTTAATTGTGATGCTCGGAGCTGAACCTACAATATCTTTAAAGAATGTCTGCATTTGGTCATTATTTTTTGAAAGTCTTAGTGATACTGATATATGTTCTGATTTTTCTAGAACATAGAGTTTTGCCTGTTTTTGTAATAGTGTTTTTAAATGGCATAATTTTTAATAGTGACTCCTTTAATGCTCAGGAGTACCCTGGTGTGGCTGATAAATTATGTGGTTACTCAATATGAAGACCAGTGTAGTTCTGTAATTTTTGGCTCTCATGCTCTATATTTAAGTTTTGTTTTTGCTATTATTAAGTCTGGATGCTAGTCCCAGCCATCCCTGTGGTGGAGGCAGTGCTCAGCCCTTTCTGTTTTTGCTGCACATTGCTTGTGCAAGAAAGAGCAAAACAACATGGCCTGAGGACATGGAGTTTGCAACCTTCTTGGAATGGATATTAAATGGTGACACGCCAACAATGTCACCACCATTCTGGAGGGTACAAGATGCTGTCACACATGGGAGGTGGGCAGGGCAGGAGGCAACAGAAATGTCTGAGTTGGTTTTTAACATGATCTTAACACAGACTCAGCATGTCACTAAATTTACCTTCCATCCATTTGCCTGCTGAGACATTTCAGTGCAAAAGGCCCTTCTGAAAATGGGCACAAAGTTCTAACAATGAGTGCATAAGGTAAGAAGCAGAAAGTTATTCTTTAGTTTCTAAGTAGGTGGCCATGCAATGTTGGGAGCCACAGTGAGGGAGACAGCACAGGGAAATTAGATTTGGGCTGAGGAAGCTCCTGGAGAGTGCAAACTACATCACATTAGTTTTCGTCATGATTTCCTCTTGAAACACTTCTAAGTGCATGGCAAAAATGGTTAGGACTTCTTGACTCATGATGAGGAGAAAATGTGGTTCAGAGAAAGAAGTGACAGTACCCAACTTCCAACAGGGAAAAAAGAAATATTTGAAAGGTGATGGTATTGGCATGTGGCGTCTATAGCACTGTCTCCTTTCTGAGATGTCAGCAGCTAAAACAAGCTGGGGAGGTGGGTGAGCATGAAGCTCAGAGGGACACCTTGGACCACACATGGACAAGTTTCTCCTCAAACTGAAGGGTCCAGAAAGCCAGTAAGTGAGAGTATTGCTTGTGAACAGGATTTCCATTTTCAAACAAAACACTAGGTGTGTGAATCACAGACATGGTTTGCTTTCCATTTATCTGTTGCCTAAAGAGCACATTTCCAACACAAACAGGCCCTTCCAAAGACAGGAAATTAAATAACAGTCTAAGCGCATGAGGTCAAGCAACCCTCTGCCCACCTCCTTCCCCCATAAAAAAGGTGTCGGTCCATTACAATCTACAAATTGTAGTGTTATATATGTATCCACAGGATCTGCACTTACCTATTCCAGAAAAATATCAATTAGTGGTAGTCAAATATTTTATTTATTAAAGGAGACATAATTGTTAAAATCAGAGAAAATACCTCAAGGATTAGAGGCAGTAGCAGCCATCACATGTGTTCACTATTCATTTAATGATGTGTAATCAACGAATGCATGTATGTCATGTGTGTCATTAGTACAAGTTGGTATAATAGGGGTTTGACTTTGGGATCAGACTGATCTAGGTTTGGGTCCTGTTGATGCCATTTATTACCGGGTTTTCCTTGGCAAGTCTTCAAGCCACAGTTTCCTTATCTGTATAATGGGAGGAAACTGGAGTGAAATGTGGCATCCTTTTGAGGCTCAGAGTTTAATAACACATGAAAGTGCTTGGCTTTTAGTAAGACTTAAGAAAACAGTAACCGCTTTGATTAGTGATTAGATTCAAAATTCTTATAAATAATCTGAATGATTATTTAACGCCCCCAAATAACAGTTTTCTTGTAGTTGATGATGGTCTAACCATACCTGTCCTGCTCACTTATCACAGGTTGTGTATTGCAATCCAATCTACTAAGGAATGGAAGGATGTTTTGTTATCTTAGGCTCAATCAAATCCAGCATGAATTTTGCTGGTGGAGATCAAGTAGAAGTCTACATAGGAAAACATCCTTAAAACTCCCTCTCCCCTTACCAATGTTGAGTATTGTTCTTTTGTCTCTATTGTCTGCTTTTATTTGGCACAAGGGCCCCAAGTGAAGGGGCGTTGCTTCGCGGCCTTGGGTTTGCAGCACACACCAGGGGCTCATGCTACAGTGGATGACAGACAGATACTAAGACTCACATTTTCTCCCCAAAGGCTTTTCTTCTTTCCCATTGTATTTCTTTCTACTGTGTGCTTCCTCCATTTCTGTTTCCATTACCCAACATTTAGCTAAGTTCCTATATGTCACCTTTCCCCTCTTTGTCTACCCTTGGTTATAAGAGCACCAATATTCACTGATTCTTGTCTTGCTGTTTAGGAAATGGATCCATGGATAAATTAAGCTTACAGAGCTCAGGGTGATTTTTTTTTTTTCTTAATCTGCAAAATGGAAATAGAAAATGTAAGTCAAGGGACTGTAGCAGGAATTAAATGAGCATTAAGTGTCCTTTTCAACAAGGAAACAAAGACCCATTCAACATAGCAGGCTGAGAATTGTCTCCTGTGCGCCCAGCCCATGGCCATCCCGTTGCACTTGACTCACCTGTGGACGATACGCTGGCTCTGCAGGTAGTCCAGGGCCAGGGCCAGCTCGCAGATGAAGAGCTTCACCGTGCCTTCCTGGAAGCGCACGTTCTGCTGCAGGTGATAACGCAGATCTCCGCCCAGCAGGAGGTCTACCACCATGAACATGTCTTCCTCGTCTTGGAAGGAGTACCTGGAGCAGAATCAGTGGAAGAAATGTGTCCTATGCATTGACACACAAAAGAGTGCCCCAGCCCATGAGACTTGCAGATCAGAGCAGCTTCTGGAGCTAAGAGTTCAGGCTTGGGGAATAGATAGAGAGTCTGTCACTAGCTCTAGGACCTGAGGGCCTCACTTTGCGCACATGTAAAATAGAAAGACTAAGAATATCTACCATATTTGATCATAGAAATGAATAAATGAGACAAGTCTATTTGATGTCATGCCTGGCTCACAGTAAGCACATGCATCTGCTACTGTCTAAGAAAAGTCCTATAGCCCAGGGAATCACTACACCTGCTCATGTGTCATTAATGATCACCTCATAACCACACTTAGAGGTAACAGAAGCAAGCGCACAGTGCAAGGATAATTCCCCCCATCCTTGGGATGGAGAGGTAAGGAAAAGCTGTCACAGAGGTAAAACCCTGGTTAATTTTAAAGGATGATATCTCTGAGTGATTCCCCGGGCAGGCTCTGTTAGTCTGCATGACACTACTACGTCCATTAGCACCCAGCATACCACTATGATTATTCTTTTTCAGAAAGGAGGAAAGTGAAGTCCAACAAAGTTTAAGTAATTGCCACAAGCTCATGCACCAAATAAATGGTAGTACTAAAGAATTCTCCTGATTCAAAAGAAAGATTTCAGAGAGAAAAAATAGCATGCACTAAACTCAGTCCTGGGGAAGAACACTATGTGGGTGGGAAAGGAAAATCATTAAAATTTGCAGTCACAGGGATCTCCCTGGTGGTGCAAAGGGTTAAGCACAGCACTGTGAAGCTGTCTGCAGCCTCTGCAGCATGAGTTTGATCCGTGGCCTGCCAGGGAGCTACCCACATGGCACAGCAGACCTCTCCTGGCTCACCCTCTGCTCCCCTCAGCAGTATATTGCAGTCAGTCTGCCTGTTCTGTTCCCCACTCTGTCTCTGGTGTATCCTCTCACCCCCCACACCTCTGGCCTGTACCCCAGTTCTTATATGCATAAATAAATCTTTTAAAAAAAGAAGTTGCAGTCACAACTGCACGATGAGGAAGCTTGAGCTGCAGAAGGCAGAGGGCCAGTCCCATGGTAGGTGCTTGGTCTAAGAAAGTAGACATGGAGAGACTTTGAAGGGTTTTAAGCAGGATGTACAATGTGACATAAGCTTCGCAGTAGGAGTACAGCAAGGAGGGAACGGAAGAGGAAATGAGGCAGAGAGTAGAACTGGCCTCTGCTGTTTGCAAAGAGCCTCCTGTAGCAGAAAGTGTGTTCCTGCAACTAGCATTTGTTTTGTTTCCCTCAAAGCACAGCTCTTCCTATCAACACTGTTTTGACATGTTTCTTTTGACATAATGTCAGTGAGATCACATTTTAAAGCTTTATTTGAATCAAAGAATTATGTGCAGTGCCCAGGAATGCAAACCAATTTCTAGTGACAAATTCTTTGCTTAGGAAATAATTGCCGGAAATCAATGATGGGAGAACTGTACTTAGCACAGTTTTTTTTCTTTTCATAATGATCATTGTGCTGAAGGAGAAAGAGGGACCTGCAAGCCAAAGAAAGAGAAATTCACTGAAGCATTAATCTGAGATACTGACATTCTAATGAAGACGAACGGTCCTGTTTAGTTGTTCAATAAATGCAATTTTGTTTACTGCTGAAGACTGATGCACACAGAAGGTATCAGAAATTAAGCCCTTGGGGAGGTGACTTAGACAGAAACATGGGGTGTGCATTGTAACACTGTGAGAACACATCCTGCTGTTATCTCCTGGAGAAGGGACTCATCTCTGTCACGCCATGACTGACGTGCTCACCCTATGGGCTTCCTGAACAGCAGGAAAGGTGCCTGCACCTGAATTGCTTGGTTCACAAATTCCCCCAGTGGCACCACTACAACTTTCATTCCTCGTGCTTTGCATGTCTTTCAGTAAGCAATAAATTCCTGTGTAATCATGCCTGGACCTGCGGCTCCCTGTGCTCAGCTAAAATCACAGAAGCAGAATTAATCACAGCTCAGGGGACCTGAGCAAGTCCCTTTTATAGGGGAACCAAATAAGGGACCAGGAAAAAAATAACAATAACAATAACAATAATAATAATAATAATTAACAGGCAACCATAAATCAGAGACATTCCGCGAGTTAGGGGAAGGAAAAGGGATCAAAAGAGGGGAGATGGTGACAGTGTACGGGTGAACTGGTGGTGTGTATTTTATGGTGACTACACAATGATGTAAAAGATATAAATAAAGGGGTCTCCCCAGTGGCACAAGCAGTTAAGTCGCAGCACTATGAAGCAGTCCTTAGCCACAGTAGCACAAGTTCAATCCCCAGCCAGGGAGCAACCCACATGGCACAGCAGACCTCTCCTGTCTCGTCCGATCCTTCCCTCAGCAGTGTATTTTGTCAGTCTGCCTGTTCTATTCCCCACTCTGTCTCTGGTGAATCCTCGTACCCATCCCCACCCCCTGTATCTCTGGCCTGCACCTCAGCTCATGTATGCATAAATAAATAAATCTTTTAAAAAAGATATGAATTAAAAAAATAAATTAAAAAAGATAAAATCACAGAAGCAATGACAGCTCAGGAGACTGAGCAAGGTCGTTTGGGATCATTGGCAAATGGGATATGTATGGGTACCTAAAAGGAAGAAGAGATCTCTGACTATAAACGCTATCCAGATGCCAGTGGCAACAGCCTCACATACTGTGTTAGCACAGAGAAGCTTTGGCCCAAACCAGCTCCCCACTGGGGGAGGATGGGGCTCAGAACCTGGGTACAGGGCACAGGACTACTCTCCTGTGGCCACATTTAACTCAAAGGGGGACCAGTAGTTTTATTAAATTCACCCTGAATGAATGAACACAATTTTTTTTTGAAACTTGGATGAAGCTATTTTTATTCAGAGAACAGACAGATTAAGGTGCCAGTCACAGCAAGTTAACAACAGTGTTCGGCCATGCAGGGATTAATAATCAAAGAAAGAAGAGGCAGACAAGAGGCAACACGCTTTCCTTGCCTAGTACAAGTGTACATTTAATTGAGGAATCAAGTTTGGCTGCTAAAAATCATCTTTTTGCTTCAGAACATCAGATCTGAAGTCCCCCTATTGCATATATTAAAGCATCAGAGGAGGGAAGATGAAAATTTTGTTTTTTAGAACTATATATCCTGCAAGATATCGTTTGGTGCCCAATAGAGTTTGGTGATAACTGGAAGATGCAAATTCATATCATCATCTGATTTTCTTCAAAAATCAAAGAGGAAGCGCCTCCTTTCACCTCACTTATTTATCACATAGACTCATATTGCATCTGTAATATGCCATATCATGGCTTATTTAGGTCTTAGTTGACAGCTCCAAAATTAGTATGTCTGATCCCACTGTACGTGAAATACATTGCAAACTGTGCTCAGTAAGAGAGCAGGAAAATAACAGAAGACCACCACCTGAGTGTACCCCATCATGTTGTAGCGGTAGAGAAGGGGGCTATTTTCTCCACCTCTCTAAGGTTTTTGGGCTGGTGGAACAGTGAAGTTAATATCAGACCAATTAGTAGGAAAAAAAGAACAAATTTCATTACAGATGTACGGAGAATCTAGGCAGATACAGATTCTAAAGCCAGTGGGGCAAATGAAGGTATATGTCCTGAGCTAAAGAATGGAATAGGGGCCCTGGGTTTCAAGGAGAGAGGAAGGGGCTCCTATCATGATGAGAGGATGACTGGTGTGGAGGACCACAAGCTCTGTAATTAGATGTCTGCCCTGCTATATAGATAGATTTCTTTGATAGAAATGTCATCTCTGCTAAAATTCCTGATTCTGGCTAACAAACCCAATTTTTAACTTTTAAATAGTTAAAGTGGCAGTCAAAGATTCTCATGAGTCTAGAGGACCTCAGTTAACCTTGGCTCGAAATAATTCACCTGCCAAAGTGACACGTCTTGAGGAGGCCTGTCCTTTAGAGTTTGGCTGATACCATTCAATTGCGTTTCCACAGCTTTTTCTGTATAATCTTGGACCTCTCCATTCTATATCCAGAAGTAGTAATTTCAAAATGTGAGTTATGGTCTCTAGCCTTGGCAAACCCTTCATCTCTTTCCACAGTCTGTGGGACCTTCCACAGTCTGCCCTTTGCTTTTCCAAACTCATCTTGTCAATGGCCAGCTATGTCTCGCCAGCTTTAGGAAACTGACATGGCGTCACCTGAGCCTGCACCCACATGCTATTTATCTTTCAGTCTCAGCCAAAGTGTTATCTTTCCTAGAGAGGTTTTTAATACCCTATGTTAAGTCAGGTCTCTCTGCTACCTACAAGCCCGTAATCTTACTCCAAGAATCTATCATCATTTGAAAATAGTGCAATTACAATTTGAAATCATGTACTTTTGATGAACTGCTTTCATTTCTACTACACCATCAGGATGCAGGCCATTTACTCACCCCGACTCCTCAGTAAAAATAAAAAAATAAAAAGCACTACCCCTACAAATAAACTATAGAAAATTAATACTTTTCTATAATTAATGTAAATTAATAAATGAACAAATGGAGGAGAGAAGCAAGGCTAAAACACAAGTTTGGGGTAGGTCTGAAATAAATTCCCTAGGTTCTATTTTTAGAACCTAGCATGGCTACCAAGTACATTGAAAGAAGTCTCAGGGGGGAGCTGCCCCATGGAGGGCTTGAGACAGATCTGAATCTGAATGTCAGAAAAGATCTAAAATACTTTCAGATGCAGTGGTTTTCAAATTGGGGCTCCTAACTACTAGTAATGGGGATTGAAATCAGTTTGGTTAGTTGGGACAAGCACTTTTTCTAAAGAAACAGATTGAATAATATAGAAAATGTGAGATTAACCTGTAAAGCTAAACATTGTTTGCAAACTTTTGTTTCTGTGAATGTAATCTCGGCCTCTGAATGTAGCTACTGTGTTAGGAGGAAATATATATTTCTTCTGTGGGTGGCAGTAAAAAAAATAAATAAATAACATGACAGTAGGGGAAGCTGCCTATCGCAGAGCTATTGCATCAAATCCTCCTTCAGATTCTTCCTGAGCACTGTCAGTTCTGATATCCCCACTGAGCAGAGCAAGGGAAATGAATGAATAAGTATGGCATCTAAAGGCTGCTGGTTTTGGAGGAAAAAACATTGGCAGATTCATCAAAGAGAAACACACCTAAAGATAATGTACATGAAGAAGACATAGGCTTCAGATAGAACTGGATTTAGTGTCATCTGTGAATTTGGAGAAAGAATTTTTTCCCTTACAGGAAACTGGGTCTCAGAGGACATATGTACATTGGGAATAATTTTATGTATCATGTGGCAAAGCATAAATCAGATATAATTTTTGTAAAGTAATTAGCACAAAGCACGACACACAATGTAGCAGTAAAGAAACTGGTCCTGGAGTCAGGCTGCTTCTATTCCCTGCTCTGTCCCTTAACCTCTTTGTAACTGGAGTAAGTTCTCAAAATCTTCAGCATTCCCCACATAATGGTACACACTGCAGAGGACTTTTGGGATGACCAAGTGACTTTGCACACATAAAGTGCTTAAAAATAGTGCTGGAAGATAGTATATAAAGGCAAGTATTAACTATCATAATAACTATTTTCTCCTTACAACCATGAATATAATACTGCTCTGCTATTGGCAGAAATACTTGTTGCATGCAGCCTCACTGGTGGCGCAAGGGGTTAGGCACAGCACCGTGGAGCTATATGCAGATTCTGCAGCACGAGTTCGATCCCCGACTAGGCAGGGAGCAGCCCACATGGCACGGCAGACCTCTCCTGGCTCGCCCACTGCTCCCCTCAGCAGTGTATTTCAGTCAGTCTGCCTGTTCTGTTCCCCACTCTGTCTCTGGTGAATCCTCTCACCCCCTGCACCTCTGGTGTGTCCCCAGTTCTTGTGTGCATCGACAGATAAATCTTTAGAAAAAAAAGAAATATTTGTTGTATTCAGTTATTCCTTTACATGAGATAATTGCATGAAGATATTTATTTATTATCATAATCAACATGCTTCCTATTAATGAGCTCTTCCTATGTGTCAGAACCATGCTGAGTACTTTATACGTATCAGTGCATTTAATGTTGCTACAAAGCTATGGGATAAATAATGTCATTATCCCCATTTTTACCAATAAAGACATCAAGATTAATCCTCAGGAAAATGAGCAAACCAAATCCATCAGTATATGAAAAATATATATACTGTGACCATATAGGATTAATACCCTGAAAATCAATTAACATACTAATGGAATACAAGATGAAACACGATCATCTCAGTAGATACAGCTAAGGCATTTAACAAAATAGAAGATTATGCATGATAAAACCTCTAAAACTTGGGATAGAAGGGAGCTTTCTCAATCTGATTAAGGGCCTCAATGATAAATCCTACAGTAAGTATCAGAGACAGTGGGGGAAAGAAGGAATTGAAGGCTTTCCCTCTGAGATCACAAACAAGGCAAGAACACCTGCTCTCACTTCTGTTCAGTAGAGACTCTAACCTGCATAACTAACAAAAACAAAAACAAAATCACATTGGAAAGGGAAACGTAATTACAGACAATATGATTGTGCATACAGAAAATCATAAGAGAACCACAAAAACAATCTGAACTAAAAACAACAGCAAGGTTGCAGGATACAAGATCAGTATACAAAAATAAATTCTATTTTTCTATGCATGCAATGAGCAATTTGAAAATGCAAGTAAGAACACATTTACATTCACAAAAGTATCACAAATAATAACATGGGAATAAATGTAGCAAAGAAGTACAAGACTGGTACACAAAATTATAAAATTTTGCCAAACAAAATGAGGCAAGATCTAAATATTTGGAGGAACAGTCCACCTGCAGTGGGTTGGAAGACTCAGATATTGTTAAGGTCTCAATCCTGTCCACATTGATTGATAAATCAATGTAATCCCTCTCAAATTTCCAACAGACTTTTTGTTTTGACCTAAATTAACAAG